ATAACAATCCCAGAGACTTTGCTAGAACCAAGAATTCTGATGCTCAAATACACATATCATGTATCTGCAGCTTATCCCCAAAACATCCACTTTACCCACCTGTTTGCCGCAAAAACGCACAGCAAAAGTGGAGTGAAATTGTACTTGCTGCCTTATTAAATTCATGATGACGTACCACATTGCATTATCTAGAATAGTGTTTGCATTCTATGAATAATTTCTAAAATGAAAAGATTTGCTGTATTGCATTGTTTTTCCTTTGCTTTTAAAAATGATCTTATAACTGAAAGAAAAGGAAATTTAACTGTAATACAGCTTTGGTTTCAAGACAATCTTAGGAAAATTATTACAAATGCTGATATTTATCATAAATCTTTAATTTGCATATTCTTTTTTAGCATCTTAACATTCATGAAGTTATTCATGTTTATGGCTCATTTATATGCTAAATTAGGCACATTTAAGACTCTGATCACTTGAAGCAGGGGTCTACAAAGGGTTGATTGATAATCAACTGATTCAAAATTACCTCACAACCTGCCTCTAAAACCTTAAATGATCTAGAATTGTTTTCCCCTATTCAGTACCCTCCCTAATGTTGCTCTACTCATGCTTGGGGATTACAGTGCACAACTGAAATCCAACACATCTAGAAGACTCTTGATGGGAAAGGCTGAGCTAGCTCCTTCACGTTATACATATCATGAGAGGATAAAGCTACAGCCAGAACTATAATGGAAAGCTTCATCTACAGCATGGATCTTCAAGGCCACTTTGAAATCAATGCTTTTGCAATGTCATGGGGCCATTTAAAATCTCTAGAAAGTCTGCACTTGCTGTTCCAACCTCACTTTCTGAGGTTTGCTACTAGAATGTATTTGTAGATAGCTGCATATAGAAGAGTCTGATTGCTGTCAAACTAGATATGAGACCATGAAGAGATAAGAGCCCTGTTGCATCAGGCTGTAGATCCAGCATTCTATGTTGTACAGAAGTGAACTGGATGCATTTGCAAAGTTCATAAATCTAAACTGAAGAGTGATGGCATTCTTCCACTATTGATTCCCAGCAATCAGTACATAAGCCATGCAGCCTAAGATACAGGAGGCAGAATAGCTAGCTGTATTAATGGCCACTAATAGCATGATGCTCCATGAATCTATCCAGTCTTCTATTAAAACTATCCAATTGTCATTTCCATAAATACCAGCACTGAATTTTACAGTTTAACTATCAGCTATCTCAAAAAAGTATTTCTTTATGTCAATCCTGAATATCCATGCATTTTGTTTCAATGGATGACCTTCAGTTCTAACTTGTGAGAGAGGGATAAAAATATATCCATGTTACCTATGCTGTGCATGATTCTATACATTTCTATTACATTCTACCATCTATTACATTTTAAGCTAAAGAACCCCAATTGCTGTAGTCTTTCCTCATAGAAGAGCTACTCTAACCCCTTAATTATTGTCAAACTGGACTATTAAAAATGTGGCTGTATAGAGTGTAATGGGTAAACCAGCAAGTGCTTTAAGCAGAGAGCATTAGTAGCTTTGAGGAAGCTCTTTTTCCCATAACATTATAGGACTTGAACACTAAATTCTATACCAGTTACACTCAGGCTGTATGTAAGTAGCTTTTACTGTGTGTTTTGGAATATGCAATTTGACAAAAAACACTTTCTTTTCACATTGAAAAAATAATTTCTAAGTCTTCTAAAGTTTAAGGCAAGTTCAGAGTTATCTTCACATCAGAAAAAGGATTTAAGAATAGAAAAAAGCATAAGAAATGTGCTTGTCATTTAAAATACCAGAGTTCACTGTGCAAACATGCTGGAGCATTAACTAGCCATGATAATCAAGTCCATAGCTCCAGCAACTGAGAAGCAAGAACGATATAAATGACGTTTGCACATTATGATCTAGAAGGGTTTTAAAATATCCTTTCCTGCATATAGAGTGTTCTTTATAAGGCAAACAATTTCAGTTCAAGTTCAGTTCAGCTGTAAAAGTAGGTAGATTAAATGACACGGGAGATCCCCGCAAAAGCCTTAAACCTTCCTAATTTGAGGGTGGTGGTGGTGAGTTGAGTAAGTGATCGGAAAGGGCAGGTTTCAGTTGACCCGACTAGGCCTTGCCATTAAAAACTCAACAGAACATTCCCCAAATTGTCTCTGACTGAATGGATAGGGCTTAAGAGGCAAATTAAAGAAGGCACCTGACAACGTCAGACCAATAAAACCCTTCATTCTCTAAAACGACTTATTATACAAGTACTACAGAACTCTTTGTAACTCCAGTAGCCGCTGCTTCTCAAGTTCTACTGGCGATACTACAAGAGAGGCAAAATCCATGCCGCCCCTTCAAAGATCAAAACGATTTAGCCCAAAATGTTCGCCATCTCGGGAACAGCTGCAGCAACTTCTTTAACTACAGGTCGGGTGGGGTGGAGGAACCGAAAGGGCAGCAGTAAAAGAAGCGGGAATAACAAGTCCCTCCTGCTTTCCGCTCGGCTCCGCGCTTACCTCTCTATCCACTCGCGGAAGAAGCGCAGCTCCTCGGCGTGCAAGACGGCGGAGTTCTCCTTGCAGAGTTTCACGAAGGTCCGCAGCTCACTCAATTTCCGCTGGTCCATGGCTAGTCCTCCCGCCACGCCGTTGCTCCCTTGCTGTTCCCACCGCTACAGCTTCCCTCCGAGAGGAACAGCCGGAGTCCCCAACCCACTCGCCCAGCAGGCCTTGCCGTCACGCGCCGCTCAGCGCAACGGCTCCCCCACGCCCTCTGGCAACCTTCCCTGGAGAGCGGCTCCCGCTCTCGCCGCGCTGCCCTCCCCGCGCCGAGGAAACTCCTCCTCCTACCCCGCCTTCTCACGAACCGCCCCGATTGCCCCAGTTTTGGCAGCGGGGTCCAGAATCTTCTAGAAGTGAAAGTTGAGTCGCCCTAGAGATTGCCTCTTTCCATTGCCTTTGGACTCACCCTTTCCTCCTTTGATTCAGTCATGGAATGATGTGAGTTAAACTCATAACGATGAACTTACTGGTTCTGGGGTCATTTCTAACCGTGATGGCAGGGAGAAGAGGCGAAGGAGGTACTTTGACAAGTAGGCGTTTTATTTAGACGCCTAAAATATAATAGCCAGTCACTCCCGGAAACTCAGAGGCGAAAGACAAATACCTGGTTGCAATTGATGGGTGACGTCATTAAGTGTCGACCCAGTGCAAGCAAGGTCCTCCAAACGTGCAAGCTCAAATCGAGCTTAGTGTAGTTGGCCATGCTTCAGGGTTGGGGATCGGGAAAGAAAGTAATAGAACGAAGTGGAGGAGGATCAGGAGCTGGGGCGTTGCGATTTCTTCCGATATCACCCCATAGGGTTGATTACTCTCTTTACAGGCAGGGAGTTCAGCTATGGTGTGGTTCCCAACTCAGAGACTTATCCAACCTGTAAGGGACATGTGCAGCTTTTCAGGTCAGAGACTTACTTTCCTTATACAGAAGAGAACCAGTTCTAAGGAGGGTGAAAGCTAGTTATTTTAGGTACCCCCTCCACTTTGCATAGTTTTAAAGATGTTTTTATTCTCTCAGTTTCAACGATGACACTTGTAACTGATTCAGTGCTAGGGTGAAAAAGTACTCTGAAGACCACGATAATGTTATAAAAGAAACGTTTCCTCAGTTTAAGATAGAGGTTTCAGAAACTGGTCAATTTAGGTCTCAAAATGGCTAACAAAATAATACCAAAACTTTTCTGTAATACCATGGCCGTAATTAAGCTGAGATTTTAAATCTCGTTAATCTCAATGGGGAGGAGGAAAAATAGACGGTTATACAATTTCCAGTGGAAATCAGTGGGATTAAAAGTGCTTAAGTTTGGCTGGAATGCACTTTACATACCTTATGAAGTGTGTCATAAAATGACATATAACAATCCTTACATTTATTATTCACTTTTCCAAGGTTTAATCTTGGAGTTGTTTTTGGAATTGTATGTATAGCCTGATCCTATGTATGTTTATAGTAGAGCAAAACTCAAGGTGTAATTTACATGTAAGCTAAAATGTGGTTTAAGTGCCACCTAGGCTAATATAACTTGTTCTACAAAACATGCTTTTTTAAAAAAAGTTCTAGCCCAGGGATGTGTGAATTGGGCTACTGAGTTGAATCCTAAACATACTTCCAAGTAAGTATGTATAGAGTTGTAGTCTAAAACAAACTGATTTTAACATGCTTCACTGTGTATGACTGTTAGCCCAATACTGCAAACCTTACTTAGCCATAGATCCTTTACATTCTGTGGGATTTCTTTTGGTTTAACATACCTAAAAACAGGATGCATAACAGCAACTTACTTGTATTTATATTTCAAACATTCTGTGAATATCTTAGTAAATGGATGTTAAGAAGCTTCAGTTCTGACCAGTCATATTAAGTAATAATAATTTGCTCATTTCCACTGAAAGTGGAGCAAGGATACAGAAGTGAAGCCTGTCAGCACCCTCTTTTTGGCTCCAGCGTGGAAGGATCCAAAACTGTGATTTGTTTTGTTTTGTTTTAAGGGTGCATAAATGTAAAAGGCATAGTAGGT